TCCGCCATAGGGACCCGTGCAAAGGTCAAGGATACATCATCTGTTCGTATCATCTTCTGGGGTAGCTGTGGATTTTTCCCCGACATCGATTCCCGTGTCCCACATGGAGCTCTCAGCGGTCAGAATTCGTGAATACCGTGAATATCCTAATTCACGGGCAGTCTGAGAAAAAGAGGTGTGTCTCGGATAATGCTGCAGGTTTCGATGGATTGGAATAAATAGAGAGGTACTCTCCAACATACGAGCAGTATCTCATAAAGGGGCACCTTCTAGGAACCAAAATCAGGTATTCTAAACGAAAGACTGAATTAGTTTCTCTATAAGGCCTTCGATGGAGTATTCCGGATGGCCCACGTATATATTGGATAGATGCCGCAATGATTGCACTCGAAAGAAACCTGAGCTCATCTTGGAAAGCGGGATAAATTTTATGGCCGCCTCTGAGGATTGAGCAGTTTCTCGGAAACTGACGACTTCTTGAGGCTCGAAAAATGAACGAGCATGCTCTCCACTTACCGGTATTCTCCAGTCCCAGGAAGCAATCACGAATCTCTGCTCTAATGACTCATCCATCCGACTGTCACTGCGGAATGATGTGCATATTCGACGAGTCCGCTCGTTCTGGAAGGAGCTTGCGGGAGTCGCGCTCGTTCGAACGTTCAATATTCAACGTCAGTTTGACAGCGGGAACCCGGTCCATGGGTGACAAGGATATCCGGAGGCTGGTGACCGGCAGGATTACTCGGGTAGCGCCGACTCCCTGTTGTCTCGATCGGAGAGTCGAATCGGACTCCGATGTACAACGCTCTTTTTATGATCATTATTTCTTTATTCTTGAGATCTGCCCTGGGGAGATTCATGAGACACCGGGTACGATTCCGGCTATCCATCGCAAAAGAGCAACCCTCGTGTTGTAGATCACAATGCACGTTCTGAAGAGACAGTTAGAGGAGGCGGAGTTGGTGAGAGAAAAAGGTAGAGTCAGTCAGTATGTAAGAGATGTCAATCGAGTAGGACGTGTGTGGAATCGTGAATAAACCAGAGTGAAGGATTCGAGCGGAAGTTGTGTGTTCCCTCAGTTCTCTCCGAAGCAGGATCCATTAGGGGTTGCCCCACAAAACTTGGATCGATGACTGCATAGGATGCGAAAGTGGCATCTCTTTCAAGCGCTTCGGTCAACATATATCTAGTCAATACCCTTGAAGAACTCGCAGAAGACACGAGCGCGTTCAGGGAGTCGCTTGCCTATTGGTAGCTGTGTTTCCCGTCCAGGACCCTGGGCTGCGAAGGATATCCGGAAGCGTCATGAAGAAGATAAATGGATGTTCGCAGATTCTCTTCCGTCCCTCAACGTTGCGGAATTTATCACATAGAGCGTATTCTAGTTCGTCCGAGGGGAGTGTCTTCAGTCGTTTCCACATTGGCTTGTACGTACGCGGTTTGAATCTTTTCCAAATATCACATCCCTCGTTTTTTCATCGCGTGGAAGTGGAGAAGAAGACTCGTGGCCCCTCGTGGCGAACTTAGAAGAGCGTCGTCGGATGAGGAATTGCGGACAGTCACTCGATCACCGGGTTAATAATGATTAATGATATCCCCGAGAAGTAGCTGAACGCTAGGATTGAAGAGTGGTGTCTGGTCGAGCCGATTCGCCGAGAGCCCGCTTTCTCTGAAATATTTAAAAATGAGCACAGAGTATTCGATTCGTCCTCATATCTGCAGAATTCGCGGGTATCGCGAACGATGTGCGGATCCGAATTATGAATATCCGTCGAGCCGGGAAACGAGAACAGAGAGCACCCGGTAGCGGGAGCTTTATTTTTGCCAGGAGTAAACGAGGGAATTCCGTTTTCGTGTAACGACTGTCGAGGTCAGCTCTGAATCTCTAGAGCTCTCTAACTCATTCACGCATTCTTCGCCGAATTGTTTCACAAGGGGAGTGCCGAACATGTAACACGCCGATCGGGCTGGAACTTTGGTCATAGAATCCCCACCCCGAGGGAAGTTTAACCCTAGGATATTATCTGCGTATGGCCACTTTAAGGGTGTTTAAATTTTTTCGAAAATCAGCCCTTAAGCATTGACTCTATGGGAATAATGGAAAATACTATGAACAATGGACGAATATTGGATCTGCCCGAGATATCCGAAGACATAATATGTTTTTGGATCGCCGGATTCAAATTTGGCGCATCTTCATGAGTCGTATCGACTCCCAATTCCTTCGAAACAGCCAAATAATTAGAGCCTTTCTACATAAACGGAATGGAGCAATTTATTCTGACGAATTCAGCATACGTGGTAGTCTAAGAAAAAGAACTTAATACATAGATTCTGCTTGCAATGTATGCATTTTATGAACGGAATACAAAAATCTGTTTGTAACTTGCACCAAGTTTGGGAAGTTGGGAAGTTGAACAAGGGACTGATGAAGATCTGGTGTCAGGAAATTCTAAAGGAAGTTCTGGATCGCACCCAAGTCGATCGATGTGTGCTTTATCTCGATTCCTGGGGCGGACAGCGAGATCAGAGCTTGTTCCAACTGGACGACGAAGAAATCTGCCTTAAGACACTACCGCCGGGGTCAACACCGCTGATTCAGCCGCTGGACGTTTACTGCTCCCAAATGTAGAAGAATTTCGCGAAGCGAATGACTCGAGCATGAGGCTTGATCGGATGCCGCATCGACCGCCGCGATGATGTCCTTCGACTCCAATCACTCATCTATAATCATTTTCAGCACCCTGATTTCCGAAGTATGTGGTTGTACGGCTGGTACAAGTCCGGCTTCGATGTGCCGGAGATACCCTTCCTGAGTATCGCCGAGATGTTGTTCTCGGTCACCGAAGTTTGTTCCGGTGATTCATTTCATATGAATTCCGTTCATAACATTGCAAGCAGAATCTATGTGTGAAGTGCTTCTTCGTGGACTACCACGTACACTGAATTCGTCAGAATAAATTGCTCCATTCCGTTTATGTAGAAAGGCTCTAATTATTTGGCTGTTTCGAAGGAATTGGGAGTCGATACGACTCATGAAGATGCGCCAAATTTGAATCCGGCGATCCAAAAACATATTATGTCTTCGGATATCTCGGGCAGATCCAATATTCGTCCATTGTTCATAGTATTTTCCATTATTCCCATAGAGTCAATGCTTAAGGGCGGATTTTCGAAAATTTTTTAAACACCCTTAAAGTGGCCATACGCAGATAATATCCTAGGGTTAAACTTCTCTCGGGGTGGGGATTCTATGACCAAAGTTTCAGCCCGATCGGCGTGTTACATGTTCGGCACTCCCCTTGTCAGATACATACATATCTCCTTCTCGAGGCAAATAACAATCGCAGTGGCGTCCCTATACCGGTCAGCGCAGCATTCCGCGGGGGAGTCCGCGCTCATGAGGTCTCATGGGAAATATCGTTTAGAAAGTAGTTTCGCTCTACATCTTCGCGTGAGAGGTCTTCGGATGATCGGGGAGAAATTGAACGAGCTCCAGCATCGTCCAAGCCTAGTTCCCCGCGGTCATGGAATAATGCTTCCGGCGGATGGGTCATGGAGAACGACTTTTCGAAACAACACCGCGACCGGAATGATAGGAATACTTCTGCGAAATGTGAATAGATTCGATTTTTTCGACCCAACATCTAGTATTCTCCAAGCTGTCACCCCCGATGTATGAGGAACAAATTTTTTGTCCCCCCGATGTATGAGGAACAAATTTTTTGTTCCGAGCTCTGAAATCGTCCTGCTCCGCAGTCGGTGAATGAAATTGCGTGCAGCTCAAATCCATCGCGCGAGCTGCCGACGGGAGAGACAACTCGTCGCAAGTGTCTTGCTTCATCCCTCCGGAATCAGACTGGGCTACCGCTTTCCCCGGGCAGATCCCTGAGGGATTCCAATTATTATGGACCCTGGCCCCTGACCTCTGAGCTCATGATCAAGCCTTGCAGCATATCAGCGGGACGGACTTGATTTTGGACAGAACTACTTCAAAATCCTCGAATCTTCCTCCCCCGAGGTACTAGGTACTGAATACTACAGACCGCGGACGAGTTTCGCGGACGATTTTCCCGCCGACCACAGAGGCAAGTTAGTCTCCAGAGAACCCTCGGATTTCAGGAACCGAGAACCAACCACGCTCTCAGCTCCTCTTCTATGAAGGGTGTTCTCGTCCTATGGGCATGGGCTCAATTCAGCCACGGCCGCGTTTTTGCTGGAGATATTCTCTCCCCGCCGGAGGCTCACGAAGTCCCGAGGAAGCTCCGGAACCTAGGTGGGCCCTGTGGATGCCTCGATCCAGCGGGATAGCTGCGGAGGGGAGACTTGACTCTTGGCATGAGGATATCGGAAGACGAAGATCAGCGCGATGGGTCGGAGGATGTCACCGCAGAGGCGGGGAGGATCCATGGTACCTTGGCGAGCGATTCTTTTCTCGAGGGAGCTCCCCGTTCCCGCATGTCGATCGGCCGGCCCGGAGGAATAAATGAATCATGGTCGCTATCTCGCGGATCATGGGCTTGGCTACGTTTCCCCTGGCTCCTCACCCTATGAGCGATCGTCCCAGTCCAACGGATAATTTCGAAAAGCTTCTCGGATCTTGTCATGCCCTCATGATTTTGGCAGGAATACTGCGAACGCCGATGAGCACCACGGCAGAATCCTCACGATGAGACATCAAGTAGCACTTCGAAACGACTCGCTTCCAGAAGACCGACAGCGCGCGGGAACGGAAGCCTCCAGTCGGATAACCGAGCACTACGAGAACGCAAGACCACTTGGCTTGGTCGAGTCAACCCGAGCCGGATATTTCATGAACGATCCGAGATCATTCTTCACTTCCGGCAATGACCTAGCCATGAGCGCTAGCGGGGAAATCGTCGCGTCGGTAATAGAAAAGATGAAACCGCTCTTCCCATGCGTCACCCACCTGAGCACTGACGTCACGAGTGGTGAAGAACTGACTGAGTGATTCAAGAGTCGACTTCAAGACGACTCCAGGGATGGAGTCGAGCTTTTATTCCTCACGATAATATCTATAATTTCTCCGAAAGGGTCTCGGTCAACATTCTCGGCTCGATATCTCCCTGGATTCAGTATCGACTGGGTTGCTGAGCTCCCACAGTTCCCGACGTCGATAGACGGCAATGAGCAACAAGGAGACAGGATCCATACGTCGTCATATTTGTAGGGAAAGCCTAGTTCGCATCATTGCTTGCTCCCGGCGGAAATCATCTGGAAGACGTACCCGAAATCTTTCTCCGAGTGTCCTTGAGCACAGGCCATCCGGTAAAATTGTTGAGCTAAGGCTCCGAGCGGCGTCGGCGCCTGCGTTTGAGTCGCGGCAGTTTGAGCGAGACTAAGGTCTTTCAGCATCAGGGCTGAACGGAAGCCACCTTGATATCCTTTCGATGAGGGTCTTTCCGGCATTACGTTAGGAACCGGACTGTACACGTCGCTGACCCACGTTTTTCCTGAGCTTGAGTTCAGTATCGAATTGAGAACCTTCGGATCGAGCCCCAGCCTGCAATTGAACGTTGGTCATGCATAATCCCGCTCCTTATTCATGCCGCTCTCCCTTGCGTAGGAGTACTTGGATTCCGGACGCCTAGGAAATTTCGGGACTGAATGGTGATGCTTCCGCTGCTCACCGAATACTCACTTGATGCCCAAATTCATTGTTTCTGAATGTCCAATCATCGAAATCGCAAGCATCATGTTGTTACAGATCTTCGCAGCACCTCCGCATCCTATTGGACCACAATGGATGACAGTTTTCCCCATTTTCAGCAAAACCTCTTCTGCCGACATCATGTCAGCCTTGTCCCCTCCCACCATGAAAGTAAGGGAACCGGTCTTCGCAGCATCAACCCCGCCGGAGACAGGGGCGTCGACGAAGTTGATTCCCTTCTCCATAGCTAGTTTTCCCATTCTGACCGAAAGCTCAGGGTCGACTGTGCTACTGTCGATCAGAAGAGCGCCCGACTTTGCTCCATTGAAGACGCCCTCATTCCCTGTGAGAACGTCTTCCACATGCGCATTTGAGGGTAACATTGTGATGATCTTGTCACTCAATCTTCCGACCTCCGCGGGGCTCGCAGCTTTTATCGCGCCTAATTTCTCTAGGGCGGTCACCGGTTCCGGAACAACGTCGAAAACTACAACTGTCTCCCCTTTCGTGACCAGGTTGGCGGCCATTCCCGCGCCCATGTTACCCAGACCGATGAATCCGACAGTAGAGGCATTCCGTCCTGGAATGGACGGAAAGGAAAGGTTTCGCGTGAGTATGTGGGGGATGGCACGCGCGTCATTATCTGCCGTGGGCAGCCCGTCGCGAAGACGATGAGCCATCTGAAATGCTCGCGGTGATAACGAATCATCACCCTCCCGAGCTAAGATCGAGAGTGTTCCTCGAACGCAATCGGGAATTGAAGTATTGCCGATCCTCTCCTACTGTCGAGATTCCTCACAAGTTCCTACAATCTCTATTCGATCCTCCATCGACACCATTCGGTCGTTCAGCTGGCATCCTTCATCAGGTTGACCAAGGCGACCTTATCTTTGCGTCGTCTGGCACATTCTACGGGACAGTCGTAGCTGGAGCACAAAGAGGTTTCCATCTTCACGAACTCTTGAGAAGGAGTCACCGAATTGAGTTTTGCAAAATTCTCTGCTGATGATGAGAATACCTCGGAGCAATGTTCGAACTTCGCGCGCTAACAGATCTCTTCGGAGACCATCAGTGTCTGGCTCTCTAGTTATTCCCGCCGCGAGATCCTAAGAACTCCGGAAAAGCCTAGGAGGGTGTCTATGGGTTTCATGGAATCGCTGGACTTACTGATTGTAGCCGTGAGTGAGAATTTAGTTAAATATTTCGAGGCCAACATAATGAGAGTTTTCAAAAGTTTTTTTTTCGGAGCGGTAGATCTTGCGCTCACTTGTTGCTCTGTTGGAAGGAGGGTTCTTCATCCGGTGCAGCGCGCATGCCTACGCTCATCTTTCCCCACAGTGGTATGGAGAACAAGTGAGGAGGAGGAGAGACTCATCCACGAATAGACGCATTCGCGATCTCGCGCGCGCGGCCGAATCGTCGATGTCCGAATAACCAGGAACGAGGCAGAAAACTAGCGAATTCACTATGCTGATACCGATGAGAGGAGCTCCTACAGGAGAAATTTACGCGGACAGTTCCTGACGACGATACTCGGACGCGAGAGAGCTCGAAGACCCATGGGAGTTTCTTGTGCATAGGATGGGAGTTCTTGGGGCATGGTTTTCGATCGCGGAGCTGTCCGAAGTAGAAATGAATTCGCTCGGTCTTCCGGACGTGGAGTGTCGAGCGAACAATTTTAATCGCTCTATCATAATTTATCATCGAGAATTTTCGTGCCCGAGTTCCCCGGATAACGGGGGGCCTGGCCGTGCGGGAGCTCAAGATCTCTCCTCCGAGGTGAATCAAAATATTCCGGACAGTGAGGCAAGGGGGTTATATGAAAGCCTTACGAGTTTCGTCAATGGAAGGGAAAGTGCGATGCTGCCGCAGATAACGACGCTGCTGTGGACGAACCGACCCGGTCAGAGAAGGAAAGCGCTGCTTACCGCGCAACTGTATTACACGGTGACGAAAAGCTCCCGTCAGGGTGCCAGGTTACCAGCATGAGCCCGCCAAAGCCAACAAGCCTCATGCCCAATGCTACTCTTGAAGAGGGGATCTGTCCTCTGCGTGCTTCGGGTTCCTGGCCTGCCACAGCTTCTTTGGACTGTCTGCGGAAAACTCGCTCCCGAAATTGAGCCCGAGCTTCGATTCATCGCGGGCTTCATTCACAGCGTGGCGCTTCCTATCGGCGGCTTATCACCGCATTCCGAATATAACTACAAACGGGCCGTCGGAGTCTCAGTCAGTATCGAACAGTCATCAACGCTTGTATCATCAACGAGCGTCAGAGGGATTCCCCTGGGAGCCTGGGGCGGGAGCTCTACCCGCTCTTTCCGTTTCGCCCAGCGTTCGTCAAGAATTTTTCGCCAGGCCCCACCTCAGTGTTATCTTCTTCGGGGAAGAAAATTGTCCCACGCTCCGTCTTGAGAGACACTCTTCTAGCCCGAATACTGCCCGTTTCCATGGAGTAGAAAGCAAACACAGAAATCTGAAGGTGCTCGACCCAAACCTGATACGTGTCACTGGATAAATTGATTTAGAAGGACGCTGCTGCTAGGCCTCGCAGCGATTTTTAACCGCGGTTAATTAATCGCAATAACCGCGAATTCCCGCGGTTTTTTAACCGCAGCTTCTGCGGCCATAACCGCGATTAGACGCTAATTTCCCGGGGTAGTCTAAGGCAACGAGGGAAGAGTCTCGAAAACTCTCGCTAACGCCCAGGGCCAGAGGCTATCGGCATAGAGTTGTCGTAAGACCTGTAACGCAGTGTCCCGCAGCATATCAATTTTCGCGGCTCCCCCTCTGATGTTCAACCGCCTAAAACGATTCACGAAATTCGATGTCTCCACATAGAGCTTGAATGTCCCGTCAAGCGCGTCTCCAATCCGAGGGAAAGGGCCGTTACGGTTCATTTCTGGCCTGCCGATAGCGATCGAGACAGACTCGCTTCGCCCGGATCGCAGCTCGGGCATTACTCGGAGGCTACCTGGAACTTCGACAATCGATCCCGCCGACTTCTGTTGAAGCCGAGCGAGATTTTAGCGTTGTCCGGCTTCTGCTGGGGGAGAACAGGGCCAGTCTCAAGCCTCGAACGCTGGACAACATCTTCATTCTGAGGAAGTTCTACTAGCAGAAATCAGAGAACAAGAATTGAAACACCGATGGATCTAGGACTTCCATACCGA